CAGTTCAACAAAATGGTGATATGGCAAGGCTGTAGTCGGGATGCGAGCTACTTCCGGTCGCCAAGGTGCGCCCGAACCGAACAGAAACGTCCGGTTGTTGTGAACGGGCGTTCTATTCTGTTGGGGTGAAGACGGTAGGGGCCGAACGTAACGACGGTAGGGTAGGGTAGGGTAGGGTAGGGTAGTTTTTATGAGGCGGTGGAGCTCGCCCTTCATAAAACTCAAACTCACCGGGGGCCAAGTCCCACTAGCAGCGTTGAGCTACCTCAACGCCTGAATCTGGACGTGTTTGTGAAGGCGTGCAGTTCAGGAAACTCAACACCATCTCTGCACATCTCCGCACAAAAGTCCAGATTCAGGCGTTGAGGTTGCTCAACGCTGCTACGGGGACTACAGGTAGGCCCCGGGTGTGCAATATGAAGAACGCATCGTCCTGAAGGACGTGGATAGATTCACCCGCCAAATTTTTCGTTTTTCGCAGCGTTTGTTGCTAGAGCGGTCCTTCGTCTCTCTCTCTTTTTTCCCTTTTTTTTTTTTTTTTTTTTTTGTCCGTGTCTGTGTGTGTCTGTGTTCACAGGACCCACCCCTACCTACCTCATCTTTCTGCTTCCTCATCTAGGGGGCTACTTGTTTGGTCCTCTCGGGTATACCGGACACGGCGGTTGCAGACACCAGCGCTAGGCCATGACATGGTCATTCGTGTCTCAGTGGCGCTTGTCGAGGGTAAGTGGACAGTAGAGGGAAGAGGGACAGGTACTCAGGGAGAGCGCGCGGGACAGAGGGTGAGCAGGAGGGGGAGGGGTGGAGGGTAAGGAGAGAGGGCGGAGGAGGAAGAAGCAGTGGCATGTCAAGCAGGTGGAGAGCTGAGCGGAGACCGGGGGAGGCAATTACAACGGTGGAAATAGTAAGGGCATGCTCTCACATCCAGATTACCCCCTTTGGTTCCCAGCATGTGCTGCTCCCCACAAATAGAATGGAGCCCCCGTTAAGAGGAAAGGAAAAAAAAAAAAGAAAAAAAAAAGATTTCCCCCTTCTTCCCTTTTGGAATTATTTATTATATCCCACAACCCCCCTGTCTTTCGTGGATGAACATATCTGGAATTGCCGCCAAATACAGAAACAGTCCTGGTGCGGTGCGTATGCCGTAAGAAGGGAGGAGATGGTAGATCGGTCAGCCGGCATTTCCGATGGGGGAGAGTCTCTTCAAATCCACGTGTCAGAAGATGCGTTCATACAGAGATAGGATAGGGGGGTAGAGGGGGTAAGGGGGTATATAGAGAGTTTGGGGGAGTAAGGGGGTAGAGGGGTATAGCTCGCGGGGGGTTAGGGGGGTTGCGGGGCAGGGGGGGACCGGTGTCAATCACAGCGAGGGGGGGGTTAAACACCAAGGGGCTGGGGGTAATCACAGAGCGGGGGGGTAGGGGAGGGTTGGTTGGGTCAATGCAGTGCAAGGCAGCGACGGAGGGAGAGAGAGAAAGCAAGGCTGCTAATTAGTCCAGAGGGTGTAGGGTGGTTATATGCCGCCGCCATAGCCATCTGAATTCAAGTCCTCTCCATCATCATCATCATCATCATCATCATCATCATCATCAATCATCATCATCATCGTCATCATCATCATCAATCATCATCATCATCATCATCAATCATCATCAATCATCATCATCATTATGAATTATCATCAATCATCACCAATCATCATCAATCATCATCAATCATCAATAGTGCATTCTAATCATTATTGTCAATAGTGCATCCCAATCATTATTGTTGACGGTTTGAAATTAAAGATCAAGGCTAACAACCTAAGGGAGTCACCATATTATTAAAAAAAAGGAAAAAAAGGAAAAAAAGGAAAAAAAGGAAAAAAAGAAAAAAGAGAAAAAAGAACAAAAAGAAAAAAAGAAAAAAGAGAAAAAAGAACAAAAAGAAAAAAAGAAAAGAAAAAAGAGAATAAAAAGAGAGAAAAGAAAAAGAACAAGAAAAAAGAAAGAAAAAAAGGGACTCGCCTTATCAAATACCGTCGCTGTGGATGGTCGTCGTCATCACAACGAGGGAAAGGCGACGGGTACCGTTTTCACCCGAATAGAACGCACAGTCGTTATCGCTGTACCTAGACGGAACGTTGGGCCAAATACAAGAGCTATAATGACCGTGCTGTGCATTCTATTTGGGTGAAGACGGTAGCCTTGTCACGAAGACAGTTAGTTATACCCGCCCTCTCTCTCTGCAGCTCTCCCATCTCTCGCTCTCTCCCCCTCCTTCCCTCTCGCTCCACCAGTCCCTTCTGTGTCTCGTTCACGTTCACGTTCACATGCCCTTGTGTAAAAGCAAGTAGGCCTTTGACACGTGTCAGTGCAACAGGCTCTGAACATTGACCCCCTTGCAACAGGTTCTGAACTCCACCTCCCTACCCTGCTTTCTATTGTCTTCTTTTTCTTTTATTGTCGCTCTTCCTGTTCCTCTGTGTGTGTGTG